TCACTGGTAGATACTACATTCCTGGCTACACCTCCAGTAGTATACTCAATCACATATCCATTAGTCTCTGATGAATTGGTCCAGTTCACTTTGATACTAGTAGCATTTAATATAAACCATCTCACATTATTTGGAGGACCACCAGGAGCTAGAAAAGAGACGAAGGTATCTACTATTGATTAAAGTATAATCATACCATGTAATATCACAGATTGACTGTAGTTGACTCCTCCAATCATTGCTATACAGGTAACATTAACTGACACTCCCAGTGGATCAGGATATACCAGTAGTGTGTTTTTGTATGTCAGGACATCAATTGATGTATACATTGAGTTACTCTTCATCACTCCATTCACTAACCAGTAAACACCATTTGAAGGATTTATATCAGTAGTTGTGAGACAATCAATACGATATTGAGTGTTATTGAGTTGTGTAATGGATGAGACTAGTGTCCAATTGATTGAATTAATAACTAGAAATACATTAATAATGTTACAAGTACATTAAAAGGTGCAGTAGCAATACCTGGTAAGGTCTGTACACTGATTGTACTACTAGCAGGTCCCAGTAATTGTTGATAGGCTCTGACTGTGATGCTATAAGTTGTTCCTCCTCTCAGTCCATTCAGTGTGATTGTATTATTACTACTTCCCTCCACCTGTACTGTCTGCACAGTGTCTGTGTCACTAGTGACATTGACTACATATCCATCAGCATCAGATGAATCAAGTGCAGTCCAACTGACAGTGATAGTGGTAGCTGTCTTGTTGACCTCAGTAAGAGAAGAGGGAGCAGTTGCTGGTACTAAATATTATTTGTATCAAAATTATTAGCATTCATTGACATTACCTTTTATAGTTACATTACGTATTCTAATTTGATAACCATCTGGATGATCTACTACCCTGCACTGATAGGTTTGATCTCCAGTGGTTGATTGACTGATTGATCCACTACTGACAGTCATTCCATCCCATGTGATATTAACAGTATATCTTATTGTATAAGTAGTACTAACTAACACAGTACCAGGGCAAGGATTACTAATATCATTACAATTAGTGTAATTATCCAGTGCAGTATTACCAATGCTCATACTAATACCATAACCAAAGTGTCCAATTTTGACACAATTCAGTTTGTATTCCTGAGGATATACTGTCATATCAAAAGGAAGTTCAGCAACAGTAAATGATTTTATCTCTGAATATCCTACAGATGAAAATTATTACATCCGTAAGTGATTATAGCCTCCTCTTACTGAATATATTAGCAAAGATGATGTTAGTGTTAGGATCTGAACAATCAGTGGGTAGACAACACTTGTACCAGCCTTCTTGAGCTGCTGATAGTGCCTCAGCAAGATAAAGATTGATAGTAGCATCAGGTGAAGTGACAGAAGTACAATGAAAAGGATCACTGTCACTATTACTGTTACAGTCAACAGGATCATCAGGATCAGCAACTCTAACCCACTGACCAGTAGTTAGACTAGTACCAGGTAACACACATGATATATTCTTAGTAACTGCATTGACACTACTATCCCAAAAATATGATCCATTGGGATAACAGTTTCCACAATGCATCAGGTAGATACCTATAAAAACCTATACAGTTGTTATTATACACATCCAGTGTCTTACCTGAGGAAGGTGGACATTGACTGAAAACTTCACTGACACTCAAAAAGAAGACAACAGACAATACTGAAAACTTCATCATGAAAGGTGACTGTACAAAATGGGTGTGTAGCTATGTTTTATACCAAACTTTGTTTTGATAACATTGAGATAATATTATGATGATGCATTTGACAAACATGTAAAATTGTATATATTTTCACCAGCATGTAAAATTTTGCTTTTTTTTCACAAAATTTATGCTATTTAAAAAATGCTACAACAAAACTAGTGGCAATGTTTCAACAGTTATACTCTGTTAATTCAAGTACATATATTTATTGTGGCATATGTCCACAGACATCATCAGGTGATGTTTGACATTCATCATAAACTCCTTCATTCTCTTCACTTAGTTTAGTCTTGTGAATTATTTCATATGGTTCACATACTTGCATTGCAATATCATCATCAGCTCTATTATTATTTTGTGTTAAATTTAATATATTAACATAATAGAATAGACTAACTTTGTTTGCTTATTAATATTACATGGAATTTTTCTTTTATAAGGAAGCAACAATAATTTATTATACTATGCATAAAACTATACCTTATAAAGCAGTAGATATTAATAATAACACTGATAGACCACATAATATACCCACCAACACACTAAGAGCAATGACACTATCTGATGTATCACTAGTTGATGGAATCACTGAAACTGCAGGAGTAGCAGTACAGACTGAAGTGCTGTTACATAAAGGACAACCTGTATATAGAGTGAGTGGAGATATGCAAACATAATAATAATAATAATAATTTATGCTTACTTATTAAATAATAACGACTAATTGAGGTAGAACATGATGCTTGGACCGATGATGTGGACATTATGCTATGTGATGGTTGTGACAATAGTGATAATGTTTTATTAACAATTAATAAAGTTCCATCCGCCAGGTCTGCTATTAGTGTATGCATGTACTCCAATAATATAACAAGACATATCATACAGACCTGTAATGTACTTGATATCATCATAATTTAGTATCAAACAATTACCAGACTGTAAAATATGATATCCTATCTCGTATGTGATAATGGGATAGTCTGATGGAATATAACTAGGTACACTCCATGAGATAACAGCCCATGTAGTGTCCATGATACTGGATACTGAACCAACTGAACCAGGTACCAAATAAAGACACATTCTCATAGAACTGATATAGTATAATAATTACATACCTATTCTAATCTCTACTACAATAGGATCACTGAAGGGACCTCTTCCAACAGAATTGACAGCAGCTACACTGATGTTATACTCAGTACCAAATACTAGATCAATCAATATGATATATCTCTCAGTACTGGTGAGGTTGTATGTGATACTACTGTTACTGATAATCACTGTATAGCCTGTGATTAGACCATTATGTTCAACAAATGATTCTATTTCTGCATATCCTACAAATAAAAATTATTACATCAGTAAGTAATTATAGTCTCCTCTTACTGAATATATTAGCAAAGATGATGTTAGTGTTAGGATCTGAACAATTAGTGGGTAGACAACACTTGTACCAGCCTTCACCAGGCACCCCAAGAAAGCCATTAGCTGGATTTATGTGAATACTGAGGTTAGCACCTGACCCATCGGTACATTGGACATCTTGAATGTGACTACCATCACAAGGAACTGCCAATCATTCAGAGTAGCACCAGGTAATACAAGTACTCTATAGGAGTTAGTCTAATGCTAGCTAGTACTATCTGGAAAATATGATCCATTAGTATAACAGTTTCCATTATGCCTCAGGTAGATACCTATAAACCTATACAGTTGTTATTATACACATCCAGTGTCTTACCTGAGGAAGGTGGACATTGACTAATAACTTCACTGACATTCAACAACAAAACTATAATCACTCCTAATACTGACAATGCCATTTTAGCAATGAACTGAATAGAATTAGCTCTGTTACAGTTCTGTTATTTTTTGACAAATTAAATCTATGCATAGCAGGTTTCTTTTACATAAGCAAAGTTCATAAAATTATATGTGTGAAAATTAAAATTTGTTTACTTTTTGTTAAAATAAGCTAGACTTATGACAATTCAAAATAATAACATGTTTATTGTGACAATGCATTTCACTTAATCATTGCACAAGTATTAGATCTCAGTGAATACATGAATATGTTTTCAGTTCACATCAAAATTAATCAGGGAACTCACCAGGTTTTCTGATTATGATCAGAATTATTATCAGCTTGTTAATTTGAAGAAGAAGAAGTGATAATAACTGCTAGAGTTGTTATCAAAGTTAGACTGTTGATATCCTCATCATACTTCTATTACTTTCTATATTATACATATTATGTCATTACTATTCCTTTATCAACATATAGCATATGTACATGTATCATTTGAGGGTTGGTTGAATGTCATTGTGGCATAATACCATTAGGAGAATCATGTGAACAGTGCTGGACCACTGGACTGGAATGGAATTCTATTAATATGCATATTCTCTCTCTCTCTTTTAGATGGAGAAGAAATGAAGATAGGAGGATTGATCAGTTAATGTAATTTGCTAAATCAGATCTCGTGCTACATCCACAAGACTACACAGTGACTATTAAATGCACTCATAAAGTTGTATTCTTTTTTCACACAAACTATGTAATATGTAAAACAAATTGATACACTAAACTAGTGAAAACATTATTTTAAGAGTTACACTTAAGTAATTCCAGTACATTTATTGTGGTATATGCTCATAAACATCATCAGGTGATGTTTGACATTCATCATAAACTCCTTCATTCTCTTCAGTTTGTTTTGCCTTGTGGATTTCATATGGTGCACATACTTGCATTGAAATATCATCATCAGCTCTATCGGCATAATTAAGTAACTTAACATGATAAAACAGACTAACTTTGTTTCCTTATTAATAGTACATAGACTTTTCTTTCTATAAGAAAACAACAAACATTTATTATACTAAGTATGTAAACTCTACCTTATAAAGCAGTAGATATGAACAATAACAATGACAGTTAGTAGACCACACAATATACCCACCAACACACTAAGAGCAATAATACTATCTGATAATGGTGGTAGTTTTAATGTCTCATTAGCAATAACTGCCCATTCTCCATATCCATTATCAGTGTATGCACGTACACCAAAAATATAACAAGACTCATCAATAAGACCAGTAATGGTAATAAATGTATTGCCATTCGTTGAATTATGGAATTGTAATATTTCAGATAAAATGTTATTATCATTAGCCATCAAACAATTACCATACTGTGAAATATGATATCCTATCTCATATGTGATAATGGAATAGTCTGATGGAATATAACTAGGTACACTCCATGAGATAACAGCCCATGTAGTGTCCATGATACTGGATACTGAACCAACTGGACCAGGTACTAAATAAAGACACAGTCTCACAGAGCTGATATAGTATAATAATTACATACCTATTCCAATCTCTACTACCATAGGATCACTAAAGGGACCTCTTCCAACAGAATTGACAGCAGCTACACTGATGTTATACTCAGTACCAAATACTAGATCATTCAATATGATATATCTCTCAGTACTGGTGAGGTTGTATGTGATATTACTGTTACTGATAATCACTGTATAGCCTGTGATTAGACCATTACGCTGAGAACAATTGACTTCAACCCAAAAGAGAATGTTAGCTGTAGAATTAACTGGTAATACTTGAATTGATGATGGCCAACCACTAGGAACTGAAAATTGCAATCAAATAATTATTGAAAAAATAACTTAAATTAATATTAGTACTTATTGCTTTGGTTTCTACTGTGTTCATACTTAATTCAGATCCTCCTAGTACATTACCAGCTCTCACTGTGATGGTATAGTTCATACCACTGTACAGACCTATTGATGTGTAACTGTATGTTGTAGTGGACTGATGAGGAGCAACAGAGACTGTCTCATTCACTGATGATAACTGGGGACAAGATGGAGTATAGGAGATGGTTTAGTATGTTACATAGTTGTCACTACTGGGAATAGTCCAGTTCACTGTAATACTAGTGGTTGAGACATAAGATACTGAGAGACTAGTTACTGGACTAGGAACTACAACAGATATCATTTACACTCTCTCAATGATAATAACTCACCATCAAATCTTAACACTGCTACTGTACTATTAACTGAA